TATATATATATATATAAAGATTTTCTAATGGAATATTATACTGTCTAAATTTCTTTCTTTTAAATGATATATAATTATGTAACATCAATAATATAATAAAAAATTAAGTAACATGATATATAAATTCAACTTACAAGAATGTACAGTGTGGGTTATTCCCAATGGATCGTTTCGAAATTCGATATTTGCATTTTTAGTTTGTTGATGAACTTTGATAAATCTACATAAATAATATCAAAAAACAATAAATTAGAAGATATAAAAATTTAAAATTATCGAAGAATATAGAATTATATGTACATATTTTCCATCTTAGGACGCAACTGTAATTTTTTAGGAATGTTTATGTTGTCATTCAAGGACTTCTTGGGTTTCGTTCTTTATCTAAGCACAACAGCACAGTGACACTTTGTAGAATTTCACGAAACGAAGTTTAGTTTCTGTCGCTGATCATAACGCAGAACGTTACAGACGAAAAAGTAGAAATTAAAACGTTTCAAAAATTACATTAATAACATTTATACTTTTTTGTTGTAATAACCGGTAAGACGTGAAAATGTAAAATGTGAAGGTGTTCGTGATTAGTGTCAAATCACGTTTAAATTCTGGTCAGGAAAACTAGGTATATGAAAACCAGCTTATTAAAACAGAAAGAAATTTTTTATCCGCTGACAGAAATAGTTCTTATTATTTCAGTATTAAAATAATTCTTTCTTGCTTATTTAATATTTCTTTTTTATTTCAGTCCTCAAAATGTGATAAATTGTTTATAATTTATATTTTTAATGAATTCTTTAGATGTATTTTTAATTGGCTCTTCTTATTATACTTTGTAGCTGTAATGAATAATGCGATATAGTCATAACATGTAAAATAAATGAAATTAAAAAATTCATTTTATATAAAGAATATTAAGAAAATTTGAAGAACCAAATAATTTTCTTACACTTCATTGTAGTGTAAGTTGTTGGAATATGTGTAATGAAAGTTTAGAAAATATATACCAAAACACAATGCAAGACAATGAACAATATAAAGAAGTTAATATTGATAAAGAGAAACTTTATTTTGTGGAATTAAATAATTCTGAATCCGTTAATGTATATTATAATACTAATAGAAAACAAAATATGTCGATATTAAATAGAACATCTCGCACAGTTCCTAATATTTTGAAAAGTAATTCCAAATTACATCAAATATTTAAAACAGATACAGCAAAATCAAACTGTTTTTTTGAAGGTATAACAGATACCAAACAAGTTTTAGTTGTTGCATCAGAGCATACTGTGTCTGGAAATACGTTTGCTAAAGAAATTAAACATAAAAAAGTATCAAGGAGAAGAAAACAAAAACTGAACTATGTGAACACTTGTAATGAACCTAATTGGAATATTTTTTCTTTTGTTGACAAGGAGAAAGAAATGTTAGACAAAAACATCTGTATGTCAACAGAATTAGGAAGTTGTACACAAGAAAAGGAATTAAAACATCATACTAACAAACAGGATAAAAAACAAAGAATATCTGCTCTTAAAAATGATCAAGAAAGGTCATCAATGTCAGAGCATACATTAACAGATTTTACTTCTGAATGTCAGATTTTTTCATCTTTCGAAGGAATTGACTCAAATAATTTGCAAGATTCAATTGATTTCTCAAGCAATGAAATATTTAATAAATTCAACTATGAATTTTATGACAGCAACAATTTAGATTGTTGCACAAAATATATAGAGAATTCTGATAACACATATAATTCTTTTAGTACAAAATATGATAGTAATTATATAAAAGAATGTGACATAAATGATAATAAAATTGATACATCTGAGGCATTGGCATATTGGTCTTTAACAAACAATGAACAAAGTGAAATAGATGTATCGATAAAAAGATCTATGATGGCTCCAGAATATTGGAATGCCGATTTCAGTAATAAAAAGTCAAAATGTTCATCTAATTCTTGTTGTGATTATTGCCTTGAGGATTGTGTTTCTAATTGGATTGCAACTAGTGGAGCTACTATGTTTAAGAAAGATAGACTACTAACAGAAACTTTTAATGATGATTCAGAAGTTAATTTCAACAATTCAAATTTACATACCTTTAATGGTACATACTTGATTGATAATGAGGACAGTAGTAGAACATTTTCACCAATCAATGAAATTGAAAATTCTTTGCAAATTACAAATGATATTAATTCTGCATTAACCGAATTTTTAAATTATTCAAATGAAAAAAGTATCAAAGGAGAAATATTTAAAGAAAAAAAATACACCCAAATGCAAGAAGAGAACAATGTACCAGTGAAAAATTTACGTGTCAAAAATAATAAATCTAAAAGTATTAAAAAAAGAAATCAGTAAGTTATTCTTTTTATATCATTTCCATAAAGTCTAAAAGTCTTTTTAAAAACATATTTTTTTAAATAGTATTTTCGTTTATTAGAATTGAATAAGAAAATATATCTTCTCTCTTCCATATTTCTAAAAAAAAAAAAAAGATATTCAGAATAATCAAAGTTTATAGGACATCTCGTGTGTAATATCTTTGTAAACGAGACTTTCGTAATTCAATGACACATTTTAAATTTTTTATTTTATCTTAAATTTTGCATTTTATAAAATTTTGCATTTTATATTTGTAGATTTCAGTGTTTATCATGTTCACTAACATTCTCAAGTGCACGTACAGTAGCAATGCATCAAGCTGGAGCACATGGAGGTAAATGTGCCATTTTATTCACGATAAGATATGGTGTTTATCATTAAATTTTTTTTTAGGTATGTACATAATACTTTGCGAAAGTTGTGGTAGACTTTTCAATCGAAAATATCATTTCAATAGGCATTTCATTCACTGTGGCCGCACGAAAGAACCTTTTAAGTGTGACATGTGCTTCAGGAAATATAGGTAAAAAGAAGAGATTAAGATGTTTAAATTTTTCGAATAAAAATTTTCACACCTCATGATTTGTTAGTTTTTTTATTCATAGAAAATTGCTTTCAGACACAAGTCGTCTCTAGTTCATCATCTAAAAGAAGTCCACGAAGTTTGCTATGCTCGTTCAAAGAAATTTACTTGTAGTGTGTGCCAAAAAGTTTATAGTAAATTTGGTGCTTTTCAAAATCACGTAAAATCCCATAAAAACGCCCAGTAAATTTAATATGCTGATGATTCCAAAAAAATCAAATATATTTAGCTATATTATTGCTATTTAAGTTTCATTAATATAATTTAAGTAGATTATTGAAATATCATATTTAATATCATATATTTATATCATATACTTATTGTTTATCTTGTGACATTATCTTTTCAAAGATATTATTTTTATTAAGTTTTTGTTAAGTACAAATTAGATTCAATTACAAAATTTTTAGTAACTTGATATAATATAAAAAAAAGTTACTCGTTATAGATGAAAATATAGTATTTTTTTTATGTTAATTATTTTTATATATTCTATTTTTGTCATTAGATTAAATCCTGTTTCGTTATTTACCGTATTATATAATTTTTATTTATATTGACTATAAGGAACCACAGTATTTTAAATCAAATATTTTTGATATATGATTTATATATAACCAATATATAGATTGAAATTATAGTATTATATAATTTAAGTTTAACAGATGCAATAAAATAAAAGTACCTTCCTTTTTCATTTTCGAGATTGTTACAATTCATATTATACAAAGTATTCTTGTATCTCTATTTGATAAAATTGTAATCATCTCAGATGTAAAAGATGTGATTGTAAAATAAAAGTAAGTAATATAAAATTTAATTAACCATATAATTTTAATATAAAATAAAACTTGATAATATATATTTAAGTGTAATGATTAGACAAATTTTATTTTCAAAGATATTTTTGTTTTGTCCAAATATATCTAATTTTTTGTGAACTTAATCAACGTGGAAAATAATTTCTGTTTATGAAAAAGAATGAAAGGAAACAACTGATGTTACATACCAATGCAAAGAACTTATTTGAAGTCAAATATCTAATGTTGCCTCACGTAATATTTAATATTTCATCCTCGTTTTATTAGAAGAAAATCAATAAATTTTCGTTTAATATCTTGATGAAAAATACAATAACAGACAAACGTACAAGTAATTCAAATCAATCATACTTCTATTTTTATTTTAATTTGGTATATAATAAAAGAATGTCAATTTCAGTTGTTAATTACAGTTTTCGAGATGATCTTAGAGATTCATTTTGATACACGAGAATTTTTATGTAAGTTGACATATTGATATGGATGCCATGGTTTATTCTATTATTAACTTTCCTTCTGAGAGTATTACCGTGTACGCCATTAAAGAAAAGCAAAAAATGGACATCGTGATAAAGTCCACGAACCATTTCGTCGGAGGAAAGCATTTATTGAGCTACTATAAATCGAATGGCTTTATGCTTCATTGGTTTATCTTGATCGTATATATTCGAGCAAAAATTTACTAAATTTCCATTCCCGCCATCGATTTCCTTGTTTGAGCAAAGATTAATTTTTTATTCATTTATTCACTCGTGAATGAAGAAATATTTATTTTATAGATATTACTTATTCATTTTTTTATACAAACGAATAATTCAAGTAACGTAACATAAAATAAAATAATTTTTGTACAAATATAAATATCGATTTAATCTGTATAAATATATCGGAAGAATAATGCAGCATATTTGTTGCTGAGTTTAAAAACAAAATTTCAAATTTGGAAATTATGAAAATTCAATACATTACCATATCATATATAACTATCAGATTAAAGAAAAAATGTAAACAAAAATTAAAAGCAACTTCGAGTAGTTCGTGATTCTAGTTACTATTACGATACTATTTCTTAAAATATCGAGGATTCGTTGCTCTTTAAACGCAGCTTTCGCTTATAAATCGTAAAAAATCTACTATCTACTATACCTTAGAATATACGGATCGTGTCGAGGTAGTATACTGGATAAAATATAACTTTGTCGTTCTTACTGTTGCACAATATTTACACAAAAAAAGAAAAAAAAAAATTCTAGTTACCCACATATTTTCTGCTTATTTTAGTTGCTTCATGTGAAGACAATTTTTTCACGCTTCTCAATGCTTATGATTGTTGATCAATAGATCGTTAATTTTATCCTGTTGATTAACACGGCTGACATTTTCATTGAAAAGAGTAAACGGAAATGTTAAAGGTCTAATAATAAAGTTTACGAAATATGTAATATACTTCACTCAATGAAGATTGTTACATTGTAAAGATCATCCTGTAGGAAATAAATTTATCTTCTTATCGTCTCTATAAGTTTTTCTTCTCGTTCTGCATTAAAAAAAAAAAAAAAAAAAAAAAAAATAAACACTTCAAGACCAATAGGATACCACTTTATCAATTATATTATTTCTTACTAATACAACAAAATTTCACCACTTTTTCTTATATTATATAAGATGATGGAAATAAATACGATTTTTGTATTTAAGCACCTGTCTTGTACAAGCATTCCGTCTTCAAAGCAATCGAATTAAATCACGTTGGCATCTAAATCATTTAAATCGTGAAACCTGCGAAGAAATAAAATGAAAGATACATTATCAATGGATCATATGTCCAAATGACGGAAAGTGACAGCGATAAACCGTAAAAGATAGTGCGCACTATAGTGAACCCGTTAACGAAAAGGGATGATATCGGTGGCGCCGCGGCCGGTCAAAATTTGAACAAATGCTTGCGCCGGAACCGCGCAGATCGTCCTCAGTAGTTGCCCAGACGCTGTCACGGGCGTAGCTGGATGCTGGATTGTCTCTCTCTCTCGTGCGCGCGCGTGCCGCAGGGAGGTGCTTCCTTTTCTTCTTCCTCTTCCTCCTAACCTCGTCCTACTCGTCGCTTGTATCGGTCGACGAAGCAACGCCGTGGACGTCACGATTCTTCGATGCTGCGGATATCGTGCGACTCGGTCATCGGTTCACCATCCTAACGAGAAGAAGAAAAGGTGCCGGAGAAAAGGGAGGCCGATGAGGTTTCCTGCCGGTCGGTGAGAGAGAGAGAGAGAGAGAGGGGGGGTAGAGATAGGGATAGGAAGGGAGAGCGAGATAGTGAAAGGGATTCGACAAGGAAAGGCAACCGACAGAAACAACGAGAGACCGGTAAAATCGGGAAACAAAGATGGTGTGAGAGAAACAGACAAAGTAACGAGGGGAATACGGGAGCAGCAGAGAAAGATTTCGGAAGGAAAGCTGTCCGGGAGGGGTGGAGATGTGTTGAAGTGTGTTCTTGTGTATATATATGGTGCAGTGCGGTGCTGTGCTCGAGAGAGAGAATGGCGTGGTCGGATTTCGCGTGTACCTCGCCGTGACGTGGAAAGGTAAGGATCATGCCTAATTTTCATTTATTTCTCTTCCTTATTTTCACGGATCCCCCTCTGTCATTGACTGACAGACTGTTCGTTCGATAGTAAACGTCAGGATGTTTTCGGAGTTCTCCGTCGATTAGCAGCGAGAGTCGATTTTCTTATTCGATTGACAGTGCCCGCCGAAGCCGATAATTAGCTTCGATTCGAGCAATGATCCGTCTGTCGGTCAGTCGCCGGTGTCGCGTGCGCCTCTGTCGCCTGACTTATCCTTTTCGCTACCACTGGCGAAGCTCGTCGGCATGTCTGGCCCAGTCGGAGCATCGCTCCTTCATTTAACCGTTTTTTCAGACGCATTCGTCGCGTGGCTCGTCGATCACCCATGTTATCATCTGACTATTTGTCAGTACGTAATCATTTACAACTGTTTGAAATGTGAAATAAATCTTTGTTTGAATTTCATTTTTCTTGAATCGTATCGACAAATCCGCAATCCAGTCACGAAACTACGAGGTAAACATAGTTTTATTTACTGCGTTTATAATGGAGCATTCCGATGCTTCACAATGGCATTACCAAAAAGTGACTACGCGAACGTTCCTCATCATCTTGCGCGATGTTAGATACTTGGTAAATTAAAGAATGGAAATATTTTGATGTACTTGAGCATTAAGTTTTAATAACAGATTTTGTTCTGCACTTGTATTTCGTTTCAAATGAATTATCGAAAATTGGAAATATTGTTCGATATCATGTTCAGAGGAAATTGTGTTGTTGAAAGCGTTCATACTTGCATGTGCGTAGCATGTTGAGAGGTTTCATTTTGGAGTTTCGAGCATGCATTCTTCTTCTAAGTTGTTTTAGAACGGAGGATGTACTGTTTATGTTCATTCTTGTCGTAATACGAACATTTGTATTAAAACTTCACTTTATTATATTCCATCGATAGATTAGGTTATATCATTATATTATATTACTTTCGATAGGTTAGGTTAAGTATGTTACATTGATTGCATACTCGGCAAATATTGTAAAAAGAAATCCAATTGTGCCATATATTTGTGTCCTTCAGAGTAAATAATATATCATTACAGATTATATAGGACAAATTAATATCACATTTAAATCAATATTTTTAATAAATTGGGATATTAAAATAACATCGTACTAAATTTAGAATCGTAAAAAAAGTACAGTCGGTGTAAAAATTTTACTCCCTTGAATGAGTTGAACCTCTGTTTTAGTTGAACAAGATGCAGATGGAAGGTTGTTTCGATGCTCCACGTGTAGTACAACTCGATATCGCGTGAGTCATTGAATGATATTAAAGTATATCAGAAAATGCTGAAAACACAGGAACTAGAACTTTGCTAGGGAAAGAAGCACTTGTTCGTCAGTTTGTGAGTTTTAATTTCGGTGTGTTACGATTAGCTTTTCCATTAAGTAATTCGATAATTATTCTCTTTCATATTTGAAAAACAAGTAATACGACATGTAAAAAAATTAATTGCTCGTTTGAATAATACGCAT